GGTCAAAAAAGGTCAAAAAGGTCTGTTTTCAACTTGCTTCAAATTGACTAAATTTTTATTCAAAATCATCTACGTGTTCTCAGAAATTCAAATCTGACTTAAGATTTGACTTAAGATTTGACATTTGACCTTCAATGACCTTCTCAAGGTCAAAAAAGGTCAAAAAGGTCTGTTTTCAACTTGCTTCAAATTGACTAAAAAAAATTTTCAAAATCATCTACGTGTTCTCAGAAATTCAAATCTGACTTTAGATTTGACTTAAGATTTGACATTTGACCTTCAATGACCTTCTCAAAGTCAAAAATGGTCAAAAAGGTCTTTTTTCAACTTGCTTCAAATTGACTAAATTTTTTTTTCAAAATCATCTACATGTTCTCAGAAATTCAAATCTGACTTTAGATTTGACATTTGACCTTCAATGACCTTCTCAATGTCAAAAAAGGTAAAAAAGGTATTTTTTCATCTTGCTTCAAATTGACTAAATTTTTTTTCAAAATCATCTACATGTTCTCAGAATGTAAATATGACTTTAGATTTGACATTTGACCTTCAATGACCTTCTCAAGGTCAAAAAAGGTCAAAAAGGTCTTTTTTCAACTTGCTTCAAATTGACTAATTTTTTTTTCAAAATCATCTACATGTTCTCAGAAATTCAAATCTGACTTTAGATTTGACATTTGACCTTTAATGACCTTCTCAAGGTCTGAAAAGGTCAAAAAGGTCTGTTTTCAACTTGCTTCAAATTGACTAAAAAAAATTTCAAAATCATCTACGTGTTCTCAGAAATACAAATCTGACTTTAGATTTGACTTAAGATTTGACATTTGACCTTCAATGACCTTCTCAAAGTCAAAAAAGGTCAAAAAGGTCTTTTTTCAACTTGCTTCAAATTGACTAAATTTTTTTTTCAAAATCATCTACATGTTCTCAGAAATTCAAATCTGACTTTAGACTTTAGATTTGACATTTGACCTTCAGTGACCTTCTCAAGGTCAAAAAAAGGTCAAAAAGGTCTTTTTTCAACTTGCTTCAAATTGACTAATTTTTTTTTTCTAAATCATCTACATGTTCTCAGAAATTCAAATCTGACTTTAGATTTGACCTTTAATGACCTTCTCAAGGTCAAAAAAGGTCAAAAAGGTCTGTTTTCAACTTGCTTCAAATTGACCAAATTTTTTTTTCAAAATTATGTACATCTTTTCAGAAGTTCAAATTTGACTTTACAAGTTCTCAGAAATTCAAATCTGACTTAAGTTTGAACTCATAATATTGTGAGCAACTAGGTGGTGACATTTTGTCATGTTAATGCCTTGTTTTTAGATTATAAACACATACTGACATGTTATTGCAACTAGTCTTCAGATTTTAGGCAAAATATGATACTAGTCTTCAGATTTTAGGAAAATATGATACTTGGCTTCAGATTTTAGGCAAAATATGATACTAGTCTTCAGATTTTAGGAAAATATGATACTTGGCTTCAGATTTTAGGCAAAATATGATACTAGGCTTCAGATTTTAGGCAAAATATGATACTAGTCTTCAGATTTTAGGCAAAATATGATACTTGGCTTCAGATTTTAGGCAAAATATGATACTAGTCTTCAGAATTTAGGCAAAGTATGATACTTGGCTTCAGATTTTAGGCTGTAATCTTCTGAACTCATGCATTAAGCAGGCCCAATGAACATACCATAATTGCCATATTTAGCATCCATTCCCTAATAAGCGCCTACCCCATTTCACAAAGTTCAAGAAATATTGAAAAATGACCAAAGAAAAGTGAATATATGGGAAAAAAGATCAGAATTCTGATTAATCCAATAGGCGCTTATTAGAATGGTCTGAAGGGTGTATTTCCAATTTTCTAAGTGCCCCAGGCGCTAATTACAGAGAATATGGTACATGTATATGGAGGTTAAATGTTTGTCTTCATATTTTAGGCAATTGCTACCAATCTTCACATTTAGGTAATATATGTTGCCAGTCTTCACATTTAGGTAATACATGTTACCAGTCTTCATATTATAGGTAATACCTGCTACTAGTCTTCACATTTTAGGTAATATATGTTACCAGTCTTCACATTTAGGTAATATATGTTACCAGTCGTCATATTATAGGTAATACCTGCTACTAGTCTTCAAATTTTAGGTAATATATTTTATTTTACCCGTCTCCATATTATAGGTCATATCTGCTCTCCAGTCTTCATATTTTAGATAATTATCTGCTACCAGTCTTCACATTTTCTACATTTTCTTCACATTTTCTATGTTACTGCAGTCTTCATATTATAGGTAATATCTGCTACCAGTCTTCTGTATATTCTTTTAAGTAATGGTATATACAAAATGAATCAAGCTCAAAATAATGTTTTCTTTCAATTACCAGGCTGAACATTTACTTTCTTGCTTTGAATTATGATAATAATTACGTGATATTTGCAGGGGAATTAGTTGACATAGATTCTCTATGTGTCTGATAATTGGCTGGGTTGTTGGGTAGTGTTCTCCAATAACAATTTCTTTCAGGATGAATATACTTTATCATCCTAAACTACTAACAAGCGAGGTTTCAGGTACAAAAAAGTGTGATATAGAAGTGATATCATTGGGGAAGTGGGACATATAATATATCTCCTGCTGTCTATGTCCTGCTCCAATATTACTGGCAAAACCTGTTTGTTCAGTTTGTTTGAATATCTTGCTGTAGCGAAACTGTCAAAATGGATGCAGCAGACAGTAGAATTTTACTTGACCAAAATGTTGATGGATTTTTCGAAAATAATGAGAATAGGAACACTTTAAAGAAAACAAATCTGGATATGGGCGTCCTGAAAACCGCACTTGTGAAACCCCACATTTCATAGGATAAATTAGTTATCCAATGCTCAGTTTTGAATACTGGGTACATCCCTCGAGAAATACGATATTTTACCCCGGACCCTCCTGGCCCTATATTTCCCTAGGGATATACACCATATCCAAAGCCTCCCATAACATAACATTCATGTATGTAATCCCAGCACCAAACAGGGCCTTCTCTTTATGCGATTTGGTTACATATATGTCTCAGACTCAGATATAAATCTAGCTACTTTATAATGGATTACTGTTATTTTCTGCATTCATGCTCAGATCAGAGCACTTTATTAATTGCAATTTTCAGTAAGGCTTAGATTTGTAATCTGAATTATCCTTAGGCATTGGCTATCTTTCATAATTATGAGTAAAATATGTGGGCTGCTTGATATAAATGACAAGATTATAGGATTCCAGGCAGATCTTACCAGGCAGCATTATTTATGGAGGATATCAAGATTATTGAAATCCTACTGTGCCACTGTAGTCATTGGCAATATGATCCCATTGTTATTAAAGCTAATTTGTACTTGTTTGAGTGAGAGTTTGGAGACTTCCTTTGGAGCCACAAATCATTGCAATGTCTCGTCAGTGACAGTAAAATATTTTAAGTACAGTAAAATAGGTATATAGTGAACACCTATAGAGCCACAAAAAGTGTTCACTGTAGGTAGGTGTTCACAACAGAGAGGAATGCAATGTAAAATGTGTCTTGGATTGGTGTTCACTAAACACACTTGTTTACCAGAGAGAAGTGTTCACTAAATTTTACTGTACATGTAGATATTTCTTATTAATATGTTCGTATTTCGCTTACATTCTTCATAATACCTGATAAATTGGAAAAATAATTCTGACTGATAAAACCAACATTAAAACCTAATAATCCAATACATCTTCTATCAATAATAATATTATTAGTATGCCTAATTATCCTGAAAGGAGGTATTTGTATTTATGAGATTCTATTAACATTCTGGTCATATAGCAAGTCACTAGAGAATCTGATATGTTTCATTAAACAAAGTTAGGCCCTTACGGATTAAATGTCTGTTTAGTGGTTCCTACTCAGTCAATTTTCTTTTCTTTATTTCTGTTTAATGTATTAGAAATATAAAGTTAAAAACATTGGTGGCAGTCAATCAAAACCTCCATTGTGAAACATTTTACACTGAAATGTATAATTGTTTTCATACAATTTTCTTGTAAAAAGCCAGTCAGTAGCTCTTTTCTTCAAAATTTGTTCTCGCTAAACAAGACATTAATCTCTAAGGGCCTTACGGCATGATATATAAGGTGAAAATGCAAATGGGAATGGGTCAATCTATTTGGATGTTTTAGGGTCAGTAAGTCTGCATAATGAATAATTTATATAAACTTATGGGACCAATAACAATGGAAAAATGATTTATAATCTGGTTTCCATCTCTAGGGTTATGTGTTATGACAAATGCAATCTTGCAACAATGTAAAAAAATATTGAACTATTGAGAAAATTACAGTAAAGTAGAACATCTATAGAGCCACAAAAAGTGTTTGTTGTAGGTGTTTATTACAGAGAGGGGATTTTATACAGGAGCCATAGTGAAATGTGTCTTGAAGTGGTGTTTACAAAACACAGGTGTTCACTAGAGAGAGGTGTTCATTAAGACAAGTTTTACTCTAATTATTATAAGTTTGTTTCAAGGCATAGAAATTGTAATTTTGGTTTTTCTTCAACCTGTATTTATGTGCAATAGAAAATGTGTTATTCATTTTTATTACCACTGTGTTATGGTTGAAATGTACCCCTACCCCTGTATACTGACATGTGAATGCCATCATACCATTCTGATACTTATAGCATCTTTCTGTTTTATCTCAGGAATGAGAAGAAATGAGAAGACGTGGCTTATCATCATGCCATCATACATCAATTTCTGATGTTTTCTAGCATATTAAACTGGGAAAAGTTAAAAGGTTTTCTTGGAAAATCAGATAACTGTCATATCCATTGACTTTCTCTTGAAAGTGCATGGCCGTATCATACTTGTATGATTTTAACTCCCCATTTACTGATCATAGACAAAGTGTTTTATCCTTTCTTGGTTATTTTAGATGGCTTTTCAGATATGTTTGACTTTTCTTTAATTTCAGGTCATTTAAGCCCGATTTTGTACTCATACGGCAATATGTTCGCGATGCAAACTCCTCTTGGAAGAACATCATCTTAGGCCTTCAGTATGGTTGCGTCCCAAGTCTCAACTCCCTTCACTCCATATACCAATTCATGGATAAACCATGGGTGGTAAGTACTAGTTTACTTTAGATTTTAAATTAAATATATTCAAACTCTCCAAAGAGCCTGTGCTGTGGGTTGGACTAGCCTGGTGGAGTTGATTTTGGTGCTTTCGTAAATTTTTTTATCACCATATCACCATTCCCATATTACACACCTCCCCACTGTGTGAGAAGCATAGGCGTAACCCCCATAACCAATAAAATAAACCCATGCATGAAAAGAAAAAGAAAAGAGCTTTAAAATGCTTTTTATGTGAAGCTTCTAACTCAATTTTGAAGGAAGTTGCATCAATTTTTGTAAAATTCAAAATAAATCTTATTTTTTGGCTAGTTTATTCCACAATCGCACCCCCCTGAAAGCTGGCTACGCCCCTGAGAAGTGTTCATACCCATGTAGTCATATATTGGGAGGGGGTCACAGGGGCTTGTATCTAGACTATTCCCATATCATCATTAGTCAGACTGAGTTTCATTCTTACATAAATCCTCTTATCATGTATTGCTCAGTTTGCATCTTTTGCTCCACGAAATACCAATGAGAAATAAAATATTTTCAGATTAAGTAATTTCACATTGTCATGCAATGCTATTAAATAAATACTTGGCTAACCCTTTCATCATGTCTGAATAATATTTCTAAAAATTCCCTTGCGTGATATCAATAGTTAATTTTTGGAAAATATGGTAACTTTACTTATAACTAATAACTATTCATGTCTTAAAGTACTATTCATTATTGTTTTTTTACATTTGAAAAGCTTTCACAGATATGAGTATGCAATTCCTCTACCATTTTTAGAGAGAGGATGTGAGAGATATTTTGTAGAATCGTAAAAAGAAACATACCACACCATCAATAAATCTACAATACTGACCATACAGTATTTTTTGATTTATTCAGTATTTTAGTTTTTTGATTTATTCAGTCAGAAAGAATGTGGACAATAGTACAATAACGTCATTTCTAAGGGCAATATAGTGAAATATTGGACCGAGGGCCGATATATTAGACCGATGGCACTGAACGATATCTAATTTCCTGGGGAAAAATTGCCGGTCCAGAATATATTCTATTATTTTTCCGATTCTTACTGGTTACCATGGCAATTCCCCTTATATACACATTTTATTTAGTACCCTAGCCTATATTTCTTATTTGTCTGATGTAAGACATTCAATATTGATTTTCATGATATCATATTGGTTTTATTAAGCACCAGAGCATATAAACCCAGTTTAGGCTATTATAAGAAAAAGTAATCTCACTCCTGATCTGTGGCAAAATGGAAAAGGAAAAAATGACAAGGTCCATGACAAAATGATAGATTACTGCAAATTTTGAAAATGATTTTAAGATATGTACCATTTAGTTCCATCCTTATGTAAATAGCCCTTTAACATCATGTTTATGAAAATATATGAAAACTTGTCAAAGCTAGTGTACAGTTTTTTTGAGAAAGTATCACAAAAAATAAAAGGCCTGATGGTCTTAAATTTAAAATGCTGGTGACCAGACACAAAACATGCAGCTTTTATGAAAACCCTCACTTACTTCTTAGTGCTGTCAAACAAATAATAGCCAAAACAAGAATCGGAGGCTATATTGTTGGAACACATAGAAACAAGCATCTTAAGTCTGTCTTTTAACAAAGATGTCGCTAGTGTGTGATGATTCTGCAAATGTGAAATGCAGTATTGAAATCATGAATGCCGTTGATTCCCGTGTTAGATGTACCGCAGTTATAGATAAAAGGTGAATATCATCCTGTTGCTATTTCCATATAATTATACGCTGCATATTGTCACATTGTGATTCTGTCACATTCTGATTTGTGTAAACACCCAAGATAAGAACACTTATGTCATTGAGTACATACTAGCAAAATGTTCACATAAGCAGTTTTACTCCATGCTTTTTCAATTTTTTGTTATTTTGAAATTCTTTCCTTGAAAAAAATTTCAAAAATTTTGCTTGCTTTTTATTGCATTTTTTCATTTTTTCGAAATACTAAATGTACATTGCAGTCATCTTATGCTGAAATGCATATATCTGTGTAGGGGAGGGTGGTACGAAGATCTTGTTCGTATTTATGCTTCTCTCAAATCAGTAAGACATGAATAACGTAAGAATATATAATATATCATATATTTATTTATTTGCACTTGGGGCTTAAAGTAAAACGGAAATCCATTCTCCATTGATTTTATATGAAGAAAAGTTAACTTTAGAGCTGCCCTGAAATACTGGTATTTCAGGTGTTGCACACCTGAGAGAGGTGACAGCGTAAAGTACCAGCAAGACTGCAAACATGTCAAAGCTGCCCGAGGGGCAGTTTAAATGTTTGGAATGAAATAATAGTGCAAAGCAAACCTCCCGTAGTATTGCGTTCAGGCATACGTGGATGCGCTGAGATAGCCGACAAGGTGACCAGTGCCGCGGAATAGTATCGTGGATAGCTATTCGAGGCGACACCACAATGGATTAGGAGGTCATACAACGTGTAATATTATTAATATGAAAATGAACGTTTGTTTGCACCTATCAATTCATTCGTTTTGTTCTTGTAATCAATATAAGTTTAAAAGACAGGATATGATACCATTTGGTAAGAATGAAATATGGAGAATGAAACCCCAAATAAGCAATTCTGACATTATGTTATAGAAACTATAATTTAATGTCAGAAATGCGAACCCTTTGACTGTCATCTGATATTCTGTATACCCCTGACTATCATCATGAAAGCCTACTGTCATCATCAAAACCATTCTGTCACAATCAAAACCATCCCGGTCATCATCAAAACCTACTGTCGTTGCACATTAACCATCATCAAATGTCTTTTTATTTTCAGTTTGCACATTTAATACAAGTCCAGAAGCGTTTAGGAAAAGACAAGTTCCCACTAATCGACCAATCGTATTATCCAAATCATAGGGAAATGGTGAGTATTTGTATTCTAAATAATATATGAATCAGGCACTTACTCGTTCACTCCATTTTGTCTTTAAAAAGTTCCAACGAATTCCAAATAGACTTTGAAGGCACACATCGAAGGGGAGGTTTTGGGTAGAATCAGTGGAGACTACAGTCAGATCATTTTATTTTGTTAAGATATAATATATGTGTTCATAGAAGCCAAATATATTTTGTTTACAAGTTCAGTGAGCCAGTATTCAATTATTCCAAATATATTCAGTTGTGGAATATAATAATGTCGATTTTAAGTGAAAGGCAAGTCAGTATTTTAAAATAACAATAAGTGAGGAAAAGAGGTACTAGTATTTTCTTTTTTCCACAATTGTCAATATTTGGACATCGTCACTTGTATTCTAAGTTCTTGATTCTGGGGTCATTATATCCCAGTCTACATTGTTTCTGATTTTTGTTTATTTGTGCTTGTCTAGAAATTAGAAAATCAATGTCACCAGCTACTAAAAGTTCTATGACCTTTTCTATTGCGAAGCAATTATTGCATAGAAAGTAGATATAGATCTGGTTTGGGTTGTTTATGATGTGGTTGTCGCATCAGTCTGTAGATAGAGTGTACTGTATGTAGATAGCTGCTTTGCTTCTTGGATTTAGTCAAAGGCTGAAACCTTTGTTAACAATAACCACATTATCTACTTGTGTTTTGACACACTGGGCTCTTAGTCATTCATAGGATTTGACAAGAGGTACCAATCATGAAACAAACCTGAAATATGGTCAAAATTGTGTGGGATTAATATTTCTACTACTACTCTGTTCATAACCATAGCAACCAATATTTACCTATTGAAGGAGATGGTATATTTATAAAAATACTTTAGATGAAAGACTATAAAATCATGTTTTGCTGGTCTTCAAGATTAAATTTACTAATGATAGAATAGATGTCAGATTGGTTTTACCATTTTATCATTTTGTATAAATACTAAAAAATCATTGACTGTTTGTTTTACGTGAATAGGGACTCAAAGATGACGTTGAAATATATTTCTCTTAGCAGCTGCCAATAGATTTTTGATTCGTTGCAACATACATGACTGATTAATACCAATATACAGTGCATATACCGGTATATGGAATAACAAAACTATGTATTCTATAATTAAATAATTATTTTCATTGTTTATTTTTCATATTATTAAGATATTTTTCCATTTTTTATTCAAATCATTCATAATTGTGATTTTTAATTCATAGTTTTTTTTCTTATTTGTTCTGCTTCATAACTTAACTTAATGTTAGAAAATCCAAAATCAAAATGAGATGAGAATACATTTTACAAATCACCAAGTCACCAAATAACCAATTGGCGTTACATTTATGTATTCCATGCCGATTGATCTGAGTTGAACCATAATTTGGCACAATTACACATTATTTAATTCAGACTATAGAAACGAATTATGACTGTACAAATTACATGTATATATTATATAATCAAAACTTGTGCCATGAACTCCTTTACTAAATTACATGTATAAATCTCAAATCATTGAGTCCTCCATTCTAAAACATCTAGCAACATCTCCTAAGTAACATTGTCACCTTAGTAACATCTTCCCCTTAGTATCATTTCATAAGTAACCTTTTTACCTTCATAACATCACCTAAGTAAACACCTTCCCTTTAGAAACATCTTCTGTTATAACCTTTTCCCCTTCGTTGCATCACCTAAGTTATACATTCCCTTTAGTAACTTCTCCTAAGTAACACCTTCCCTTTATTAACATCTCCTTTATAACCTCTTCCCCTTCGTTGCATTACCTAAATAATACATTCTCTTTAGTAACATCTCCTTAGTAACACATTCCCTTTAGCAACATCACCTTAGTAACACATTCCCTTAAGTAACATTTCCTTAGTAACACATTCCCTTTAGTAACATCTCCTTAGTAACATCTTCCCCTATCTTCTCATTTTGAAGATGAGCTCTCTTCAGCTTTCATTTAACATTGCATATTAAAGTATAATGATTATACATTTATTTGCTATTAACCTTTATACATATGTGCATTTATTTTCATGTATATCCTATGTACATTTGTTTAGTGAATTAATATATACATATTTTCATTCAGCCAAATCTACATTACACAAATTATTTACATTTACAATGCTCCGTAGAGTTAAAACATTATTGTTCTCCTTTTATCATTTGTTCATGAACAAAATAATATTGCATAAAAATACATTCAAAAAAATTCACTATAGAGAATTATATTACAGCTAGTTATATTATATAATGCTATATTTTTGTACAGTCTATGGCTCCTTGAGTCTGTCTTCCTTGGCTTTTTGCAGACATGTTCTCCATGCTTTGGGCCTGGTCCATTGGCAGCCTCCTTCTTTTCGCTTCTGACACATTGCATATGTGCTGTAACAGTTTGTGGGGTCATCCAGAAAAGGCCATGCACATTGGTTCTCTTTTCCCTTTTTGTATTCTTTGTTTAGCTTGTCACAAGTCTCTTTGTCAAAGCAAGGCACAACCTGGAAAATATAACACAAAGGGTAACATTAGAGAAACAAAATTGATTCATATGGGCCCATATGGGGAAGGGACATTGTGGAATCCACAGTAAATTCTAAACTTGGAATTGTGAGAGAGGTTTAGATAAAGAAAGACTCTAGACTGATAAATCAAAATTTGAAAGGGAGGTTATTTTGAATGCAAAATGAGAAAAAATGTGTATGTCAGCTTTTTATAGCTCACATATCATTGATTTTGATTCTCTCCTTTCACCTTTATAACATCTAACCTAACAATCCTCCTATTGCTCTTCTTAATTTTTGTGAATGATTTTAGAAGCTATTGTTCTAACCTAACACGTCAGCATTAAAACAATGATTGTTACTTTATCTTTTTACAAGGAACAAAATTAACATTTGTCTCACTGCTTGTTTAGAAATGAAAGAATTTGTTTTCTACACATAATTTATCACTGAAAGAAAACAAGCCAACAGTTTACATTGCTGTACAGACAGATCGTCTGGAGTCCTTCCCTTCCCAAGTGTACGGAGATCATTGATTTATGCAATATGTGCACATAAATTACGAACCAATCACAAAGATTTCCCAGGGCGCAACCAATTGAGCAGTCCGACCGTAACCAACGGGAAAATGAGATCTTATGTAATGCAAAAACAATGCCTTTCAGATTACCTTCAAGATTCTAATTAAGGGAAGAACAATTTAGTGTCATGCAGAAAACGAAAACTTGTTGGTGATTCTAATAAAAACAAATTGGACTATTCATCTTATTTTCTTATTTCATCAACTCTTGTTACCACCAGTTCATTGGAATTTTTTTAATCAAACAACAGATTGGTAAGAATAGCAATATGTGACTTGACATATGTTTGTATTTCCTTTTAATTTAGGATGAAATATATTTGGTAAACCTTCACAAAAATTTACGATGTGATATTACATCAATATTTTGCCCCTGTACGAGTCTTACAAAGTCTTTGTTTTTGTGTATAATATGCTGCCATTAGGTAATAGTTTTGTACTTTAAGTTCAGTGTTTCCCTCGTTTTGATTGTATTTCATGTTTCAATTCGACCAACTATGAGTTTATATTCAAGGAACAGTTGATAAATGAGAGTGAATGGCTCAGTGAGAATATCAAACTCCCAAGCAATGTTAGGCACATAAAAAGTGTGTGGTCAATTATGCGTTGATGGGAACTGAACAAATCTCTTGTCTATCTTTTTACCATCACACATCAAAGTGTAAAAGAGGAGAGGCAGACCTCTGTTGGATCCTGTCAGAGATCACAGCAGAAGGAATAACTGAACGTCAGAATTCTTGCATGATACCAAACAGGTTGAAACTAAAACTAATGATTCTTACAGAAGTTTGGAAGTCAGTCTTAAGCAAACATTTAGTCATCAAGTCAAACATTTATGCGTCTGATTGTTTCGTTTTGTATGCGGTATAGACATGTGTTTTTAATTTGAAAAACAAAAAATTATTTTAAGAAACCAGTATTTCTTGAATTTCAATTATCCATGAATGACAAAAAATGATTACGCTCGGAGATTTTTCTTGCTTGGTTATGTTGTGCATTTACCTCCTGATAATATACCACAGGTTTTTATATTATTGACTGAAAAATGTTGTGAAAAGTGAAATGTTAGGGAGAAGATTTTATGAAAATGAGCCTTCAACAAATTCCTCAGAAACTAACCTTATGGTAGTCTGTCCCCTAAATATCTTTAAAATACTTAAGCAGATCAAAGTTTAGCTCCTCTTTGCTCGTGTAGTGAACATAATTAGTTTCTGCAATGATATACCCCTATAGTAATGATGTATATCCACAACTGGTATTTTCATTAACTAAAGGTGTGAAACAACATTTCCATTTGCTACATGCAGCTCCAAGTTGTCCTTCTTAATTACATGAGATTTCCATCTTTTTGTAGTTAATGAAAATTGATGGATAAATGTCTATACTCTCTGGAGCTTTTCTATCCAATGGTATTCACTGGTGGAATCAAAGAAGAAAACACATGAACATCAAATAATGTCTTTTAAAAATCATTTAATTAATTACATTGAGTCAATTTGGGAATATGACCTACATGGAATTCCTACATTAATATAATGCACAGAAGCTCCTCCAGGAATTTGTCATTATAAACATATGGCTCCTCCTGGGTTAAGTGACTCAAGTACCCTTTCATATTGGCCTCGAAACATTTTGAGTACTTATTGCAATAACATAACTGAGCCTTGTGACCTCCTCCCCTCCACAGTGGAGATAGGTTAAGTTCAGAGTTCAGAGGGGATATGAAGACTTGGGGCAAGACCAGTGTGTATACTTTACTTATTTTAGAGATAAATTCATTATAATCCTGAATTTCAGAGATGTTGACAAACATTGACAAAGCCCTACTGTGACAAAACAAACAATCTTCTGTGGCATTCCATGGGAAATATCTTGGGAAATACCACACCATATGCTAGTAATGAATGGGAGTTTTATTCCTTTGCAGCAGTGAAAGCATCCCTCAAAACTTCACATCAGAAACCTACCTACTTAGTGAAACAACATCTAGTTCAATATAACAAGAGTTTGGATGGAAAAAGCTAAATGAGAAGGAGTTTGAAAATCAATTGCTTTTAACTAAATAGGAATTTTTTAAGAAAAAATCTTGGAAAGTCTTCTTGAAAAAAAGACGTTTTTAATGGGAAGATTTCGGTTGAAATATGCATCAGATGTCTTAAAAGGAATCGAATTAAAACAAAAGGTCTTCAAACTTTCCAAAAATATCCCATCATCAAGAAAAATTATGCCACATTTTAGCTACAATAGCTGAGATAGATATCTACTTACTTTACAATCACAGTGCTTTTCCATTATGAACTGGACTCCCTTCCTGTATCGCACATGTACTTTATTCCACTCCTGGACCCACTCACATGTTCCAGTACGAGCCTTGCCCCCCACAACATTTCCTGAAACAGATAGGATCATAGTTTAACATGACATAGGGTACATGAAACATGGCTAAGTTTTCCAAAAGAGAATAGGGGCAGCATGTACATGAAATTGTAGTAATCAATGTCAAGGTGGTTATGAATAATTTAAGGAGGGAAGAGTCGGAAACATTAGATTATTTAATGAGATTGTTTCAGCTTGCCCTACCTTATAATTGCATTTTCTCAAGATGAAGTGAAATTTGCAGTTATATCTATCCTATACCCTAGCTATACCCTTATATGTATGGTCCTATTCTTTGTTTATTTTTATACCCTACCTGAAATGAGATATTTTGTCTGTTCTTTTAAATCGGTCACCCCACAGGCTGCGCCTTCTGCTGCAGTATAAAGAGAGGTGTGGCTCACTCCATTGTATGCTTCAGTTTCCTAAAATTTAAGCATTCAATGTAAGCTTATCAGAATGCAATGGGCAAAATTTGAAGAACACAAATTTATAAGTTATTTTCAAGCCTAGAGTAATATATTTTTATACTTTTTCAAGTAGAAAACAATTTTCTGCAAATGTGTATCTTATATGTTGGCAAATCATCATTTTTATATGATTATTGATTTACTTTTTAATTATTATATTGCTATGTTTATAGAATCAATTTTTCTATACATGGACATTTCTGTTTTCATATTTTAAAAAAAATATTTTAATTTACTTTTACTCACCTTATATACTTTGCTGATTCTTGTATGATACATGATTTCTGTTGGAAACCTGTGCGTAATATTGTGTCCTTCCACCTCATTGATGTTTTTACTGTAGAGAAGCTTTTTGCCCTTAAACTTGGCTTTGATTACTGGAAATAAAAGAAAATGCCAAATTTGATTATGTTGTAATATACATGTCTAAATTATATTTCATTTTTATGTCCCCACCACATAGTGTGGGGCCATATTGTCGGCCTAGGCGCGTCCGTCTGTCCGTCCGTCCGTCTGTCCGTCCGTCTGTCTGTCCGTCTGTCTGTCCGTCCGTACGTCCGGGAGTTTTCTCCAAAACCGCTGCAGATATCACCTTCAAATTTTCAGGGATAATTTATGAGTGCATGCAGATGTGGATGAAAAAAAATTAACTCGATACCTACTTCCTGTCGGCCATTTTGAAGTCAAATGCTAAAATCCTTGTCTGCAAACTTTAAGAAAAACGGCTTCACAGTTGCTTTTAAAACTTTAACATCTTGTTCAGCTCACTTCATTCTAGATCTGATTAGGTTTTGGACCTGTTAGCTCAGTCATGTCAGCCATTTTGAATGTTTTAAGAAAAGTTAGCGCACGATAATACTTTGTATCATATTGAATGGTGTTTTTCAGTTTTCATGCTTTAACTTTTTAGTAGCTTTATAAATAATTTCAGGTGTACTTTGTTGTAAAAGCTTATGTTATTGTTAACAGTAGGTATATGTGATAATTTTGTAAAAAGATTTCAGCAAAAACTCATAATCACTTTTTTATTGTCGGCCATTTTGGATTTTTCCGTCCTAAAATCTTGTCTGTAAAGTCTTGTCTACGCGTTTTCAGGTCAACCGTTTGGTAGATCAATTTCAAAATTTCAGGGATGATTCTTAGTATGAAAATCTAGATCTGATTAGTTTTTGGGCATTCTGGGTAAATGTCAAGGCAGCCATTTTGGATTTTCCGTCCTAAAATCTTGTCTGTAAAGTCTTGTCTACGCATTTTCAGGTGAACCGTTTGGTAGATCAATTTCAAATTTCCAGGGATGATTCTCAGTATGAAAATCTAGATCTGATTAGATTTTGGGCATTCTGGGTAAATGTCAAGGCAGCCATTTTGGATTTTCCGTCCTAAAATCTTGTCTGTAAAGTCTTGTCTACGCGTTTTCAGGTGAACCGTTTGGTAGATCAATTTCAAATTTTCAGGGATGATTCTTAGTATGAGAATCTAGATCTGATTAGTTTTTGGGCATTCTGGGTAAATGTCAAGGCAGCCATTTTGGATTTTCCGTCCTAAAATCGTGTCTGTAAAGTCTTGTCTACGCATTTTCAGGTGAACCGTTTGGTAGATCAATTTCAAATTTTCAGGGATGATTCTCAGTATGAAAATCTAGATCTGATAATTTTTACGGCATTCTGGATAAATGTCAAGGCAGCCATTTTGGATTTTCCGTCTTAAAATCTTGCCCGTAAAGTCTTGTCTACGCGTTTTTAGGTGAACCGTTTGGTAGATCAATTTCAAATTTTCAGGGATGATTCTTATTATGAAAATCTAGAACTGATTAGTTTTTGGGCATTCTGGGTAAATGTCAAGGCAGCCATTTTGGATTTTCTGTCCTCAAATCTTGTCTGTAACGTCTTGTTTACATGTTTTCTGGTTAACTGTGTGAGGGATCAATTTCAAATTTTCAGGGGTGGTTCTTAGTATGAAAATCTAGAACTGACTAATTTTTTGTCATTCTTGGTAAATTTTAAGATGGCCATTTTGGATTCTCCGTCCTCAAATTGTGTCGGTAAAGTCTTGTCTACTCATTTTTAGGATAATCATTTGACAGGATTACCCATAGGTGGGGACATATTGTACACGTTTGTGTTCTTGTATTTATTTATTGATTTTGGAAACAATAAGTTTTTCGATGTTAAAAAGTTGCATATATATGTTTTATAAAGTAAATATGTACAAACAATTAGATAATTTGGTTAGAAATGAAATTCTCTCCTAAATAACAAGGGGAGATAAAAATGTTTGATTTGACCTACTTTCACAATTTGACCCACTTAGAATGAGACAAACAATTGTTGTACTGTGAATGAAGAAATTGCAGAAGGAATCACCATGGTAGCCAACTGTTTTGAGATTTTTGGGTCTTGAATAGAATAAAAGGCCTCTGATTTCGAAAAATGGGCCTCAGTTTCATAAGAATTTTCAAAATCTTTCCTCATTTCTTGGAATATTCATTACATTATAAGGGTATTAAACAATGATAGCAATTGTAGAAGGGTTTTCTGTGAGCTTAATGTGTTGCATAAACCTACTTATAAACATGCAATCTGCTTGCTTTAGAATGGTAAATATATTTTATTTCTGAAAAACAGTTCAATATTGAAAAGTGCCTGATCTTCCATGCTATTATTAATGAAGCTGTATATACAGTCCTCCTCATAGGTTTGGAAACCCAAATTTTAAAACTTAAAGCTTGTCAATGTTTTGATGTTTTCAGTATACCTCGAAAGGAGAAAATGTAACAATGGTATCACACTGAGGGGGGGAATTAGTTTGAAAAGTCGAAGAATTTTGGGAGAGTCTGGGATATTTACCTTTGTGAACTTTTTTGGTTTCCATATTTATTGACGGCAGTGTAGTTTACTTTTAATATAATTTAAAAAAATAACTATGTAACTATTTGTATCATTGAGTTTTATTGTATTAAAGATTCAAGATTCAAGATTCAAGATTTTATTGTGTTTCAAACCAAACACTTGGTTTCCTCACAAAATCAATTACAAGACATTTACATATAATTATACAGTTAAAAAAAAAACAACAAAACAACATGCATTGTTTCACAAATACCATCATACAATCTTTCCTTTTTCAAATAGCTCCCGACGCTGATTAAAAAGTTTATTTATAAAATGTATCAATTCGTTAACAATTTCAAAATCATCAGAAGTCATCAAAAAGTTATATTTTTCTTTATCCGACATATTATCAAATGTGTCAATAAAACTTAGTTTATTAAAAAATTCAAATCTACATTTTTTATAGCCATCACACACAAGAAGAAAATGCTTTTCATCCTCTACTTCCCCCTTATTGCAAATCTGACAAATTCTTTCATTTATTTCAAGTCGATGCTGTTTAGTGCCATCTTTTTTCTTTTTCTCGTGTCTCCCTGTTTCAATTCTTAAATTATGGTTTGCTAATCTAAACCTGGCCATTTTAAAAATTAACATTTTGTTCACGCTTAATGTTAAATATCTTTCCAGATTGTAATCAATTTTCATATAATTTCCAAGTTTTCTATTTTCCCTTATAGCTCTATCATTAAGTTCTATATATTTTCTTTGCATTTCAAGTTTAATTGCTTTTAGTAATCGTTTTATTCCAAACGTACTCCCATTTTCAAAGACATGTTGAAAATGAAAGTACTTTAATATGCATTCCATATGTTTGACATATATGTTATTTTTATCCCGAAATGATATATTTATTAAGCTATCCGCGTTTGTTTGATGCACACATTTCAACCAATATTTTATGGAATATATAAGTGAGTCTATAGCTAATGGAAATCTTCCTAAATCTTTTTTAACGGCATAACTTGAAGTATATTTGTTAACCCCTAAAAGGAATTTGCAAAATTTATTGTGTATTTTTTCAGGAATAAAGTCTTCATAAGAACTCTCTAGTTTAAGGTCCCCTTGACTAATCCTTCTGTCAACTTTCAAGTGAAGCATTGACCAAAATTCACTTCCGTATAATAATATAGGCTTAACACACATGTCAAAGATTTTTGTGTGCAATTCTACATTGATAGTTGAAAACTTAAAATTTTGTCTCATCATAAAAATAACTTTCATAGCCTTCTTACTTAATTCTGATATGCCATGTTTCAAACTCCCAGAGCTTTTTAAAACAAATCCCAAATATTTATATTCATTTACTTTTTCTATATTTATACTTCCAAATTTAAAATGACTGTGTTTTATTATTTTTCCTGATTTATTAAAAATCACAACTTTCGTTTTTTCAATATTAATGTTTAATTTCCATTTTGAACAATATGTTTTTAGTTTATCAAGACAGTATTGTAGTCCCTCATTTGTTTCTGATATCAAGACCAGATCATCCGCATATAAGAGTACATTTATTAACGTTTCATCATTACTACCGATTTTGACAGGCTTACATTGGTCATCAAAAATATCTATTATGTCATTTATATATAAGTTGAAACATAAAGGACTGATTAAGCAGCCTTGTTTTAATCCTAATTTAGAGTGTATTGGACTTGTTAACCCGTTTTTAAGTTTTACTCTGTATATGACACTTGAGTACATGTTATCGATTATATCATATATTTTGCCTCCCATGCCTAGATTTTTTAATTTCTGCAATAAAAGTGGCCTGGGTATGCTATCATAGGCTTTTCTGAAATCTACAAAGCATGTATATAAATATTTCCCTACCGTCACGTGTTTATCAATTAGCTGTTTCAATATCAATAAGTGATCTGCAGTTCGGCAATTCTTTTTAAACCCGATTTGTTCTCTATGAATTATATTTTGCGACTCTATGAATTCTTCCATTCTTTTATTCAAAATATCCGCAAACAATTTACTCATTGCACTTGATAACGCAATCCCACGATAATTATTTGGTAATAAATAATCTCCACTTTTAAATAAAGGTTTAATTAGACTCTCTCTCCATTGAGTAGGGTAAATGTTATTGTCAAGGATATTATTAAAAAGATTTCTTATCACCTGTATCAACATGTCTGGACTATTTTTTAACATTTCATTTCTAATTGAATCTAAACCAACGGCTTTATTGCTCTTCAACTTATTTATACTTTTTTTAAGTTCTTTCATTGATATTCCACGATTAAAGTGTTCTATGTCAATAAAAGTATAATTATTATCCTTTTTGCTATCATATTTACCAACTTGTTCCATATTCTCTTTCATTAAATCTTTGAAATATCGAACCCATTTATCGGGAGCTATTTGATTACATTTATCATCCTTAACATCATGTTTACCATCTTTGAATTCCTCTATGGTTTTCCAAAATGCTTTCGGGTCATTTTTTTCGAGTTTCATTACACCTCTCACCAATTTAT